TTTCAAATGGTTTGCTGCTGTCTGTTTGGACCTTTCTGAACATGTGCAGCAAATGGACTGATCCAATATGGTGGACACTGAAGGGGGGGGGGCTGAGACACACTCAATATTTTCAGCGTTCTGATGTAATTTTAGCTAAATGATTTTTATCAAAAAAAATAATGTGCAAAAATAAGGAATAGTTGTATTAATCATAGATGGAAACAGAGTTTTATGGGCCCCCCAGGAAGTTGGGGCCCTAGGCACCTGCCTAGTTTTGCTTAATGGTAAATCCCCCCTGGCAGCTGGACCCGGAGCTCATCTCAAACCGAAGCGCGGCCCTGTTCCCACAGAGTGAATTTTAATAGAAATTAAAAACTCTCCTCCATCTATAAATGATGCAGATGGAGACTTTTCTATTTTAAATGAAGCCAAACCCTTAAATGATGAAATATCGGGAACGGCTCTCTGCTCCTTCACTTTGTTGTCATGGCAACCAACACATCAGATCTGCTTTAATTCATTTAAACAGAGACATCAACCAGACTCTTTATTGGAAAATAGAAACTTTATTCAAGGTAAAGAAATAAGAATAAATGTCAACCTTTAAAATCCCCTCCTGAAAAAAAGAAATTAATAAATCTATTACACATTTAGTTTAGCAGGTAAAAAAATGTCCCTCTTTATCAAAGAATTAAAAATCAACATGAATGAGGTGAATCTCCACAAAAAAACTAACTTTTATTGGTTGATGATCAATCGAAGAGCGAAACGTCCTGCTCAGTTACCATGGTGACAAACAATCCAAGTTGATTGAATTTGAGATGTTTTTGATCTGTGGTCGAGGTGGAGGCAGTCATGACGGTTCTTCCTGAAGATGACATCACAGCGCTGAGGTCGTTTGGGTTCAACCAATCAGCTGCAGCCGGAGTTTGATGCAGCAACTGTGAAAACGTTTGAGCTGCAGGATCAGCATTCATTGGTCTAAAACCAGCTGCTGGTGACATCACACAGGGGGAGGGGCCTTCACCATGATACAAACAGGCTGAAGGTTTGGACCAATCATCTGCTGCCGGTGTTAAACGCTGGTCTTTCATTGGCTGCTCTGAATTCGAGGCCTTTTGCTCTGCAGCTGCTCTGATTGGTCGGCGTCTCTGAAGCCCTCACAGGTGATCTGGTATTGGACAGTTGCCTCTATGTGGGCCGGAGATTTAAGAATGGAGGCCAGCCGCCGGGGCCCCTCCCACTGGAGGAGGAGCCTGATGGAGGGGGCGTGGCCCCAGATGTCCCCTAGAGCGGGAACCAGCTGCGACTGGCTGCCCCGCAGCCGAGTGGTCATGTGGTTGGTGATCACCACGGCAATGTTCTGGCTGGTTGCCATGGATACAAGCTGCAGGCCGAGGCCTTGCAGGAGGCGTGTCCTCTGGGACAGATCGTCATGGAGCTGCAGGAACGGAAACGCCACGCTGTCGATGACGAGGAGGCGGAGCTTCGGCCGGTCCCGCAGGAAGTTCGGCAGCAGCTGTAGCTCAGCCAACAGCTCCATGTAGTCACGGCAACGCACCTGAGACAAAAGACAGACCCGCTACAGAGTTACCATGGCAACATCAGTCAGGAGGACCTAAAATCTTCAAAGGAGGGAGCTTGGCCAATCAGGACCAACAGAGTTTGACTTTAGTACCAGGAAGATGTTGGACAGGATTGTCTCCACAGAGAAGGTCGTCATGGCGACGCGCTGCTCCTCATCCTCAGCCAGAAGAGAGCAGTGTCGGACGGCGGCGCCGGCGAGGTCCACGACCCTCTGAAGCTGGAAGCTGCCCTCCGTGTCCAGGAACATCACCTGACCTCCGAGGCCCCCGAAGCATGGCGGCACCTGGACGTCCACGGCCAGCTGCAGGCTGAGCACAACCAGAACCCGTCACACAGGGACGGCTAGTTACCAGCACACCCAGCAACCACACTGAGAGGGTCATGTGACCAGGAGGAGCATGAAACATAACAGGCGACGAATGAACATGTGACACTAAAGTTAGCTTAAATTAATCCTGAATCTAGCTAGCAGCGACGGCCTGTAGTGGTTCGGTAAATTAGGCTCCTCCTTCCGCACTTTTTCCACTCTGGTCTTGAAGTGTGAAGTTTCCCCCCCAGCTTACTGTAATG